AATTTTGGGAAACCCTAATCCTCTATATAATCTCAGTTTCCATTTCATTTTCCATTTTCTTTTCCATTTGATTCTCCATTATAGTAGGTACCCCTAATTTTGGGAAACCCTAAACCCTAAATACTAGCTTCCATTTTCTTTTCCATTATCCCAATACAACCCCTAGATAATTCCTATACATACCCTATATAACCCATATATATAACAAAGGAGGCTGCATGCAAACTGTGTGCTCAGCCTGGAATGCTCTCCTGGCATTGATCCTTCTACCTCCATTCTCCTCTTCATTGAGCGTGTTGCCTGAATGACGGTGCAGGATTGTGCAAAAAACTCTCTCCGCATCGCCAGAAACTGAAGCAAATCAAGCTGCGCAAGCTCCTTCGTCTCCGCACCTAAATTTGTGCGCCACACCCTTCTTGAGACCACAGTAACTGCAAATGACCAGCCACCTTAGCACAGCTCAGTGCATTGCGCTCATCCTGTTGCGAGGGCCGCAGAGAATGCAGCATCGTCACATTGCGTCGATACGGATACGCGCAAGCTGCGAGAGACAGACAGGACCTCAAGCTTTAGACAGCACTATACTCTACATTTGAAATGGAATGGTATAGGAGCCCATCATGTACGCTGATTTCTGGCTTGTCATGCCATGCTCATGGCGGCTCTCATTAAAAGCTGAGCAGAAACAACCGCGTGCAGCAAACAACAACGGCTTGACGGGTGAATCAAGCTCCATCCACATGAAAAACCTTTCGTCATAACAGACGTGCTCCGTATCGTTACTTCAGTTGAAATGAGTCAAGCAGGTCCAAGGGCGTTGCATTCGAGCGTGAAAATCTCACAGCCGTAACATGGCTTGCATGGCCGCTGTAGACCTGGCAACTTTCGACCATGCTCTGTCGCACATTAACCCCATGTGATGCAACATTCTTGCTTCCGTATACAGCCTTACATTCTCTGCGCCCTGATGTCTCATGGACCGTGATCGGTGCCTTCACTCCGGGGTCGACAAATGGGCTGGGGAAGCGGATCAGCTTTACACAGCCGTAGTCGTCACCTTGTACGCAGTTGCTTTCGCAGGCTGCTTTGGTTAGGTTGGGCAATGCCTGAGGTATCGGCCGAAAGCTAGCAAGTCATCCATTGGCTCCTGAGATGCTGGTTGGCACTGTTGGCCCAACAGTCAGCTGAAAGCTGGCTCAGGGCATGGCGTTGGATTGGCAAGCAGAGTTGATGTCACTCCTCACCCAAAACGAGGCACCACGTAGCACCAGCTTTTTCACACCGGCAGACACAGCAGCAAAGCCCAAGCTCCGCGCCCATCGTAATTCGGATCGCCCCAAATGCCGATGACATGCCAGCCCAATACCTCAACGAGCCACAACGGATGCAGATATCTCGCTACCGGGAGCAAAGAGAGAAGTGGAGAATCTTGCTCCGGGTTCGTACTGGTTGGACTCAGACGCAAGCTGATGTCCACGGTTTCTGCCACCTAGTGTCCCGGAAGATGGACATGTGTTTCTGGGGTGCTCCATCCTGCGCGAATTAGGATCTCACTGGTAGTCAGCTGCACCAGCAACCCACAGCCAAGTGAGTCTTGGCAGTCCTTTGTGTTCCAGTAGAGAATCTGGCAGTCTTTGGAATTAGACATGACGTATTGCCTGGCATGAACGCGCGATTCACTTTGCAGAAATTATTGCCCTCAGAACCGGAACCTGAGCGCATGACGAGTCTGCTGAGAACATCACTGCAGTAGGACTTGAGCTGTTGCCGGAAAGGACGCGGTGCAAACGGACCTGGCCGGGGGCAAGAACCGGAATTCTCAACGAACAGAGCATCTGGGGCGCGCGATGCCACACCTCTGTGTTGCCACTGCTGGCGGTGGTCAGCTTCAAGAGATAAACCTGCAAATCGCGTAACGTGCTGCCAACAGCATGCTGATGCTTCCTTGCAAGACTTTGAAGAACGACCTCCTGATCCCAGCATCCTGCCGCGAGCCACGTGCCAGAGTCGCTGAAGCGTAAGGCGCTGACGCGCCTCAGCTGCTCAGTTGCTCTACTTGCTTGTGGCCCCAAGCTTCTGTGTCAGGGCTCCTGCTCAGCTGCATGGGACAGCCTCAAGGCAAGCGAGCTTTGAGTGCAGGCAGAGTTCTCGAAAAGGTGAAGAGCGCCTCTCGCGGAAGCAAGGTTGCAGGGAAGGGAAGCGAAGCACCTGACAAAGAAAACAAGACGGCAAGGCCAGCAAGGCATCCAAGCATTATGCCTCGACCATACCTTTGTCGTGGCCAAGTGCCATGAGCGACCCATCCTGCCAAGGCATCCAAGACTCCAGGACGCCTAGGAAACCTTGCTCTGAGGCACGAGCGGTTGGCAAGAATGTCAAGGCCCACACGGACCATTCAGTTTTCAACACCTCGCACTATCTCTCACTCTCAGCATCTCCAGCAAACACCAGCAAACGGCTGGCTGATCTGGCCGCTGGCCTTGCCAACCGCAGGCTTCCTGTCGGCCACATTCCAGAAGCGGACGTCTCCCCGTGCGGAGCCCGTGGCCTAAAAGGGTCTCGCTGGACAGGGCAACTCCACTGAGGCGCCGAGGCACCAGCCATGATTGCCAATTGTGGATGGAAGTCAAGAGCCCAGGCCTGCATTTCATCCGGTGCCAGATCCCAACCAACCTTCTGTGACATTTCTGTGATTCTATGCTTGCAGTTGGGCCTCGGCAGGGTGCGACACCTGCAGCACCCGCACCAACCTTTGCTAACACAATGGAGATCCACAGTACAGCATCTACCTCCTAGTCAGAGCTGACGCCGTGGCTGATGTCGGGTGTAGTCCACTAGCATCAGAGCCTCGTTGCAGGACATCTCAAAACCCAGCTTCCGAGATCTTCCGAGGAGGAGTCTACACCGGAAGCTCTGGAGCATATTTATGCCCAGCTGCGTGATTTGCAGTGCCGAAAACAGCCAGGCTGCCGCGCCTGACACTGCACGGCCCTTGAAGGCCCTCGCTGCAAAAGACCCGCGAATACTCGGGAGCTGTCAGGCAGACTGCTGAAGGGAGATTGAACTTTCTATCGTGGAATGCAGACACGCCAGTGACCCTTAAAATTTGACAGCCTGAAAATCTAAGCAGCTCCGGTTGCCTTCCGTATAAGGCAAACACCCATTGACACAACTTGACACAGAAAAACATACAAACAGCTCGGTCTACGTTGAAATCGGCGAATGCAGGAACAAAGTCCAAGGAGTCCATGCAGAATCTGAGAAGCGCGCACGGTGACCGCATTCAGGCGGGCTGAGGTAGTGCTGCAAAAGGCCTCTGGGGTCACAGAAATACAAGCCTCTTGCCTGTTGCCTCTTGCCTTGGTACAGATTGGCAGACAAGAATGGCCCACTTGGTTATCTGCCCTTGTCTGCACTGAAATGCCGATTTTGCCATGTCATGCTGAGGGAGGCATCAGACTGTGCCGGCCATGGCGCTGATAGCTGACAGCTACATGTTGTGGAGCCTGTTTAGCACGATGAGAAGTTCAATCAGCAGCGGCTAGAAAGCCATGGGTCCAGTCCAGCAGACGTCAAAGTACAACGCTAAAGCCAAAGAGTCGAGAACACTTGAGGAAGTGAAGGAAGACGAAAAACCTCTAAGCTCTCATGCCTTGTCTGAGACAAATGATAACGGCTCACTTATTCCTGCCTGGACGTCGCCCCCTGTCAACTGCGGGAAGCGAATCTCTTCCTGCAGTTCTCAACCGCGATGCCGCGATTTCAGAATAGAGAGGTCGCAAGCTCTCCTGCAGCTCCAGTCCGGAAGAACCTGGACATCTGCAACTACAGCAAGCGAACCGATGGTTTGCAAGAGAATCTCATGAAACGGTGCCTACTGCATGCATGCGGCGCGGATCACAAACGCCAATCACCCGTCGGCCCCAGGTTTTACTGACATTGTCAGGATTTGCTATGGCAGTCCGCTGCCTTCAGCTGGGAAAAACGAGGCCTGATTGAAATTGACGAGAGGCTACAACCGCCAGAAGCCACACGAACCTTTGAAACCTGACTGTTCGATCGGATCTTCTTGCGTTCTCAGTGCCAACGTTCAAATTTCTGAATCGGAGGCAAGACTTTCAACCCATCCTTCAGTCCCAACACGCAAGAGATGCTGGATGCAAGTCCCATGTCCCAAGCAGGATGCGGGTTTGAGAGGAAGTGCTTGTGCTGCATGATTTGTTGACGCGTCTGTCGGACACTTGTAGTACAAGGACCGAGTTACACTCGGACGCCGACAGCGGCCCTACGTGGCTCGTGCAGTTTCTACCTTGGACTGTTAATAAGGCAGTGGCCGATAAAGATAGTTCCGTCAAGAGCTCCTGCTATCCAGCGCCCGTCGGGGAGTTTGGCCACCTTACGAGCAAATCAAGAAGACAAATCATAAACTGCTGATCGCACATCTCCTGTGGTCCAGGCACAGCCCAAAGTGATAGCACTTTGTTGTGGCTGTGCGGGAGCTGCCTTAGCAGTGCAGGTGAGGTTTGGCCTCCGCTCAGAACCCTTTCACCAGCTTGTCTGGGCCTTGGGCAAGTTGTCGCGAGGCTGTAGCGCACTGTCTCAGGACTGTGTAGATGTGACCACTATCTCCGACCTGCAGAAACAGTGGTGCGCAAGCAACCAACAGCTGCCTCTCACAAAGCTTCCGACTAGCCAAGCTGAGCCATCTTCTCCCGACCATGCCCAGTCAACAGGGTTCCTCAGACTCATCGACAGTGCAACCAGGGGCGATGCCATGTTGCAAACGCGTCCTTGCAGCCACGCACTTGCCGTATGTACCCCTCTTCTGAATGACCTTCAGTTGGCAGCAATGTGAACACTACATTCGAGATTTTATGAGAGTTCATTCACTGCTTGTAGCTCATCTGAGTCTGTGCTACCATGAGTTACTTCCAATGGCTGAGTGCACCACACTTGGGGAGCTTGCTGCGTGCTTCGGGAGTTCGATGGTCCAGGTCTTGAAGTGACCCTCTCCAACCTTGGACTGTCTCTTGGAGGCTGACTTCTTATCCAAGGGCATTTCAGCGGTGGGCGGGTACTGAGTTACTGGGATTCTGGGATCCATGCAGTGCTGAGCGTGATCTGCCCAGGCGGCGGTCCCGCATCGGGCTCAAAGAGATATGCCGAGAGAATCAACCTGTGAAATGCGCTTGTTCTCCGGGCAATGAGATTCATGCACACTCCTGCACTATTCCCCAATGCTCTGCTCCCGACTGCCGGCCGGAGGAGCCAGAGTACAGCGGGGTCAGGGCACTGGATGCGCCTTTCCGGACCTGCAAAGAGGATGTGGGTGGTCGTCAAAATTATGGTCCCTTTTTGGGTACCCTAAATATTAGGTGCCGTACTATAGTAGGGATCCAAAAAGGGACCAAAATTATTGACAACCACCCATATAACCCATCATAGTAGTTTCCATTTTCTTTTCCATTATCCCCCATATAACCCCAATATAACCCCAATGTTACCTTAATTTTGACAACCACCCATGTGTCCGACAAGGCTAAAGCCATCCAACTAGCTGCCAAGCGGCCGCACGGCCGAAGTCAGCCCTCCAAATGTAGAAGCTCTTTGCCTGAGGGCTTCTCCATGGCTTATCGGCACAAGTTGCCAAACCCTGTGCACCCGTATACTATAATGTATTATAGTAGACTGTAATTATTGTATGCTATAATATGTTTTATTATCGTATAATATATAGTAAGTGAAGACTGACCGTTGCAGGGGCCTCATCTGCCGTGAATGTCACGGCGATCTGACCGTCCGAGCCTCGGATTTCAGTTGCCTCACCTATACTTGGCATAATATGCTGTACTATAATATACTATGATATACTATAATATACCTGGCACTACCATCGCCCTGCAAGCCCACGACTGAGAACCGCAGCGCTCACGGATCGCGCATCTGCCGGAAGTGGCCTCAACATGGCAAGCGCCGAGGCAACTCAGACGGCAGGAAAATTCAGGCTCCTTAAGGCGCATGCAGATTGCAGAAACTGTCGGAGATATTGTCAGGGCTCCAAACACAAGCTTTCGGTCCGTCAGCACCCTGCCAACCACATCAAGTTGGCAAATTGGCTCTGGAGCAAGCAGTCTGCTTCCATGAAGCGCCTTGACGTCCATCTGCCCAGAAATGCATAAACGCTGAGCCTCATTCCAAGCCTGCAGTAAACTCAAATAGAATTAGCTTGAATTATCATGGGCACGTTCAATGTCAAATTTGCCACTGCTCGCCGGCATGCACGTCATCCATGCTAGGGCATGTACCAGGCACAGAACATCATTGGTGTGCTGCGCAAAGAATTGCTGCTCATTCGTCACAACATCAAGCAGAATGACCTCCAACCAACCATGATGTACAAGTAATCATCCGTCACAATTTTTCGAAACTCAGATCTCTACCAGGCTGGCCACCGGATAAACCTAGCCGAGAAGACGCATCTGCTTGAGCTTCAGTCGAGCTCAGACTGAGCTCAGATCGATCTCTGTCTCGGAGATGAAATGCACCGAGTTGCGGCCTTTGCACGGATGCTGCAAATATTTGGCAGCTAGAAACTAGCCCAATGCTGCTCTGTCCAACTCACGTCCGGGTTGAAACACAGCACACAAGGCATGCTGTGAGCCACACAGTTTCCGTTGTATCCGTACACCTTGCTGCCAGAAAACTCTGCGTGGGAAATGCAGATTCTGCTACTTACCTTTGACACACGAGCCTCTTTGGGCTTATACAAAACCAGCAGGTGCATAGGACTTGAGAGCAAGGGCTTGCCTTCCTGCAACTCTAAAATTCTTCTGAGCAATTATGCAGCTGAAAGCTACAATTTTACTTTTACCCCCAAGTAGTCTCCCCAACGACTTAGGATGCCTAACAGTGTCCCCCTTGTGCTCGGAACTAACGTTTGCATTAACAAGATGTTCTTTACGACCAAGGAAATGCTGCAAGCATGAAGGTTCATTGAAGTTTTTTGTGTCACAGTCTGTGCCTCAAGAGAAGCGATGACGAAGTGCAGATACAAATTCAACTGAGTCATGCAACTATTCTAGTACCACGGGTTATCGCAAATCAAAACCTGCGCGCACATCCCCTTCGCGGTCCCTCGTCGCTGGATGTCTGTGGTACTTCTGTTCATTTCTGCCTGTTCAATGTCAAGCAACAATAGCTGCGGTATCCATGCTTTGCACGGATACCGATGTTCTTTTGTACACTGGAGCGCACTGTGGCTTCTACAAGCGCGTAAGCCTTTGAAGTCGTGCTCAACCTGTGAAGAAAACTTGCCTTACGAAGACCTGAGGTTCGTAGGAGCCTGGGTATGGGTTTGGGGCTGCACCTGGATGCCTGCAACCCACAGAGGAGACAGCATGCAAATATGACTGAAAGCAACCTGCTAAATCACAATCCACCTCGGCTCCACACATAATCTCGCTGCAAGGACCACGCTGGTGCCCTGGGACAAGCCCACTGAAGATTGATGGCTGAGAGCGTTGTGAGGCAGACATGGGCTGTGTCAGTGGCATTGCCGCATCTCGTCTCTGCCGCCAATCGCTTGGTTGGAAGACCTTCCGCTCCCAGCTGAAAACACGCAGCTGTGGGATGCCTGCTTTGAGATCCCAGCAAGCGAACGCTGCCGACCGAATCTCACGCGCATTGCTCCGCCATCCTGTCATCCACGAAAAATAGTGCAGGGCTGCAGGGTCACAGAATAAGCACAACAAAAACGTTTGGTCCTCGACCTGCGCAACATTGGACCTTTGAGGTTAGCACGGTTGCCGTGATGCGCATACGCAGCTCTGCAAGACCATGCAGGACACGCCACTTGCAGAGAGGGTCTGTGTGCCGCACGGCTTGGGCGGGTACTTTGCGGAACACGCGTTGTGTTGCCTGACTCGGGCGGAGTGACTGCCAAAGCTGTCCATCCTCATGTAAGCCGCTTTCAGAGTGGATAACACAACAGCTTACAGCCACATGGTACGTTACAGGTAACGAACAGGCATCAAGAAATGTCCAGCTCAGCCAGTACGAGGCTAAGTCCAAGGCCTGGAGCGACCCCGAGACCTTGCGCGCCCTGACCTGAAGGACATCAATTGAGCTACAGTCTAAACTCCTAGTATCCCCCTTAATAACTCCAATATAATCTCCTATGTAACTCCCTTCAAGGAGTTTAGACTATAGTATAGCTCACTTAGAATCGGTCCTGGGTTCTGATGCGCTTGCAGCTTTCCAGAGCGTGGCTTTGTCAGAGGGCGCAGCATGACGTGTCATTGGCAATGGCCACACTCAATCCATCGGCTGAAGCTGCAAGTTTGATTAGGATACTGATTCCAATGCTGCTGTATCTTTTCGAGGTCACACTGCTGACTTCTTGCTGCACGTGAAAGCTGGTAGAGATTATGCAGCAGATTTAGCATGTCCCGGGTACGGCTTGCGAAGCCTAACTGCCAGCTGCTTATCGAGCCAGTGGGTCATACGGTCTGTTTGCAAGGTACACCACCCACGTGAATGGCCCACATGCCACCAAACAATGCACCTCCAGTGAATTTCGAGCAGTAAAATTGAATTGCACACGCCTCCAAGCAGAAGCATGCGCAGCATGGCCACGAACTTGCCACTTGGCGGACGAGAGTAATTAGCTGTAAGTGTTCAAGGTTTCCAACAGCAGTCTGTAAGTTATTGGCGTCTGTCTCCCTCATTAGTATTCGCATACATTTCTGCGGCTCATCCTGCCTTCTACTTGGGCAACACTGCTGCTCGCAAACATATGGCGGTGCTTGCATCATGGCAATTCTACCACAAAGGTAGCACTCAACAAGCAGCCAACGCAAGCTTTTGCGCTGAGATTGCGGCACAACTTCTGCGGGCCGTGGCTAGGATTCAGCGACGCAGGGGTGCGCCAACGACTAGGTGACTGGGAGAGAACGAACCCGTGGGCCTGGGTTTTCGCTGGGGTTGGAGGTCTGGGTCTGGGACAGTCCTTGTCTGGATGCTAGGTTTGTCAATGACACAAAGGTCATAGCGGCCATCACCATGCTCGGTGCAACCAAAACTACCACTATCGTGGTCATCCAGAACCATACTGCAAGACACTGCCGTCATGACTCTGCCTACTACTACAACCATTTCAAATATTACGCTCATCACGCTGAACCTAGGCAGCTTGTGGGCGGGTGGCCCGGCATGATCCCTTCGCACCCGAAGGGATGTCTGAGTCTGCACAATCTTTTCACGAAGAGCGTGAAGGGACCTACCCAGGTACTGGTAACTGACTAGCTTTTGCCTGGCATCATCTGGCAAATTTTACCAGAAATCGAAGACAGCAAGACTTGGATGACCACTTTAAGTCCGGCTTTCCTTTGCTAATCTGTTTTCGAGAAGCTCATCCCATTGATGTTCATGACCGTGGCAGTAGCAGCAACAACTATACCAGTCTGCAAATCAAGAAGTCACAACTCTGGTAGTACGAATGCCTGATGGTACTTGCTGTCATCTGCCGATGCCATTGCCTGAAGCTGTTGCATCCCTGCTGCCGAGAATTTACGGCAGCATTCTGAATTTGTGTCGTTCTGTTAAGAGAGACGCACAGCCTCCCATTTTCCTTTCTGCTTCCCCTGTCTAGGTCGCGTTCTGATACAGGCCTTGTAAAGATGCAAGCTGACCTGTTCATGCCCATAAAGATTGAACTGCCTGCACGTGAACCTGCACGTTGAACTTGGACAACACGAAACATGTGCCGATGCGGGACAAGACCAAAGTGACACATGATACATTCCCAAAATGCCCTTCTACAAAGATCTACTGACCTAGTAGTGCAAGCTAAAGTCATCAGCCATGGCATCCCAGCCCTTCGTAGCAGCCCTGAGTTGAGGGTGCAGACCGCAATCAAGACACGGCTACCTCGCCAATTGTTACATTGGCCAGGTGAAATGGAGCAAAGAGCCTTGGAAGGCTTGCATTATCTCAGTGGCAAAGTCAGTTGCCTTTGGGTGTTAAAGACATCTTGGGATTCCTTTTTTTTGTTTTCTTTGGACTGCATTGTGTGGCCTTACCAAGGCAAGGCCACTCAGCAGCCGTGGACGGCTTCAGGATCTAGAGCCGCATGGGCCGCAAGATCTGGAAAGCACAGCAAAGGCGCTCGTCTACCTCAGCATCATGCGCAAGCAGCCGTACGGCTTTCAATGGCTTGTGGTCCCAGGCCTGTTGCTAGACTCAGCTCAAGACCCTGGCGGACCCTGGCAACTGCAACTACAAGGACCTGTCATTGCTGGGTAGCGAGCTGTCATGATGGCAGCCTTGGAATGTTCAGGCAGGATACGAGGTGCTAGAAGCTTTGGCGGTGCAGTTCGGATCCGAGTGCTGCTAGAGACGTTGGTATTCAACAGAGGGCCCTCCGGGGTTGGGGAAGCAGGCTGCCCGCACATTTCTATAGCACTGAAATGATGAGATTCCCCAACCCCCAACAGCATTGTGCTGCAGCGGCCTCAAGTTGAAAGAACCCCTACAGTACTCCACACAAAAAAATGGGCCGCTAAACCCAGCGGAAATTGGCGGCGGCCATAGTGATCTACCCCTTCCCTGTTATGAAGCCAGAGGCTGGCGACTCGAGCAAGCCAAAAGACAGAGGCTTCTGAAGCTTGATGTCCGAGGACGAGACTGAGTTGTCGAACTCGCCGCAATAGTTCGGAGCGCTGAAAAGCGTCACGAGGGCTCGTGCCGCGAAGAACTCGTAGCCGTCTTCAACAACCTGGTAGAGTGATCACATGCTGCCACAAAGTGGTCACTGATACGGTGACTGAACTTGAGCACTGATGAAACCAGCACACATTTGCGTTATCTGATATCTAAACTCAGGCCTGGTGCGCACGGCATACGAGATCCAGGCTATGCTTTCTCAGAAAGCCTGAAACCTGAGGTGAAGGCACTTGGAGTATTGAGTTAGGTAACAGTTAGGTTCCTGCTTCAAAGACGGCCGTCCTGCAAAGGCTTGAGGCCGTTGCTACATCTGGCCCGAAGGTGAAAGAGACCCCTCGGTCCTGTCAGATGTCAAGATCTTGCGTGTCCCTAGTGGCAGTGCACATGGCTGAGCACCGATCATTCTCCCCCCAGCCACTAATCTCTTTCTCTGGATCTGACCTCAAGCATTCCACCGCTACCCCAATGCCCCAAGAGCCAACAAGACCAGGTCTCCAGCCAGAGGAGGTCGCACAGCAAGCCTAGGAATCACAGAACCAAGCACATCCGCAGGGATGTCCATAGCTTCCAACATGGGACTGGCCTGTGTCCGGCACGTCCGTCGGCCTGATCACTTGATTGATCTGCCTGAGTCTTAGTCTTGTGGCTCATGGATGTTTATGGGAACATGCCTGGCATGCACGATATGCCGAGTTGGCACAAATTAAGATCGTGGCTGCAGCTGATTAAGCTCAGGTGAGAGGCCACCATGCATGCACACAATTTTGTCCTCTATGACCTGAGTGCTGGGTATGATCACACTCTATGAGGTTTGATGACCAAACAACGACTGTGTTTGCGCCCAAGCAGAGCAGGCATATGCACCAGGAAGCGCCACGCAAAGCCGCTAAGCGCCGTGCTGCGCTGACCGGGAGGCAGTTGAAACAGTCAGTGAAGGTTTTCCACAACCTCTAGGGCATCAGCGACAGGTGCTGAGAACTCGATCAATATGACCAAAAGGTAAAGTCGTGCCTGATACTGTACCGCCGCTTGCATTCATCGTAGAAGCCATATATACGATTGATGGAAGCCTTCGCAGATTTCCGTTTTCACTCAAAAGCAGGTAGTTCGGGTGGCGACAGGCTTTTCTTCGCCCTCAACTTGCCAGGAGACACATTCATGGTTGCCGCGCAGAAGGAAGAAGTTCTCTGGAAACTTCACCTGTCAAAGTCATGTGTCAGATCGATTGTTATCGGATGGGCACTTAGTTGGTATGTAGTCTGAATTATCAGGGTGAAGGGCCAAGCCCGGTGAGCGCCCTGCTTTGTTTGCGAAGATCGGCAGGCCTTTGGTTAAGTTTTAAAGACACACTGACTGGGCTGGTGCAAGGCGGAAAATAAGGCGTGACCTTCGAGGCCACTGTCTATGTACAGGAATGCACCAGGCGCGAAAGGCTTTCCAGCTCTTCGCGTTGAAGCTGCTCAGCATATTGCTGCACTTTGACGGCCAGATGAATTGGCACGGGTATGAACACAGTTGGGCATGGTGGGACTACTTGCTGAGACCAAGTGTCTGCTAAGCAAGCACCATAGGAGTCACCTCTACTCAAGGGGGTTGGCAGCCCGGGTGGAAACTGCTCTGTTTGCCGAGTTTTTGCAAACACCAGCCACCAACGGCGCCAGCCCGCATTCCTCTGTCGCCTTCTTGCAGCCATGGCCACATCCGGTGCGTCAGGATATAGGCTGATAGGCTCCGGGCCATGTAGGGAGAAACCATGAGTTCCTCGCAGCAGATGGCGCCAAAGCGATGTGTCTTCCATCCTAGGCCCCAATCCTGGTGGCCCTGGGTCAGCCAGAGTTGAAAGAGCCCCAAGCAGGAGAACTTGAGGATCATTTCCATCAGGCTCAATCTCCGGTAGCGGTTGCCATGGGTCTGGCACACAATGGCAAATGTGCCAGGCCCGCCCTAAGGCGCACGCGTCACAGGCGCGTGATGGGCTCGCATGGGCATGTCCAGAATGCTTGCTCTGGAGAAAGCCCAAGCGCCAGCAAGCGTTCTCGTTCCGGCGGTAGAACCAATAGTTGGAAGCCACATGGGCCTGCAAGGAGAGTCACAAAGGACTCACAAGCAAGATGTCGCGTGGTGGTCAAAAAGCTCCCTGCAGCCTAGGTGCGCGGTCTGTATCAAACACTTGGCAGGACTCTTCGGCACGCAATGCAGCGAGCCAGCCGCAAAGCAGCTGGTTTACGTCTGGCATGCTGGCCATGGCACAGCTGGACCCTTGGGCGTCTTGTGCCAGCTCCACATCAAGATCTGGAGTCACTGCTTCCTGGTGACGTGGCCTCCGTCGGCGCGCACATGTCTGCCACCCAGCGCTCAGCTGCGTAGCATCCTGTGGGACGTGCAACGCTGCATGGCTGTTGTATGATTCCATGATTCCAGTGCGCATCCACAATCTGAAGCCCCGCCTGAACTTCGTCCTTGGGATCTATCAACACAGTCTCGAGATCTTCCAGCACGGAGCCGTCTGAAGTTCCCGTGTCGGCTTCAGCAGCACCAAGCTTCTCAAGCTCAAGCGGCTTAGCTGCGGCAACCTGAGCACCACACAACAGGTTCAACTTTGGGAGCAAGGTGTTGTGTGTGCTTTACCTTGAAGATTTCCTAGGGTCCTGCGGTCCTGTGGGATCTGAAGATTTTGCTGAGTCGTTGTTGAGGTCCTTCGTCGTAAACGTTGCTTCATGATGCGTTGTGCTAGCTAATGCCAGCCTGTCTCAGCAGAGCTGGCATGTGCTCATCGGGCAAGCAGCCTTTCGTGGACGCTTGGTCTGCTTGGCCTTCTTGGAGAACTTGGCTTCCTGCTAGTCGCACATTTGCCAAGAAATGCCCTGCGATCGGTGGGGGGAAGTGTAAGGTGACCCTGCAACTCCACTTGCAAGACAAGGGAGCCTCTGCCAGCAGCTGCCGCTGACTCTCCTGCGCAAGGCGCCATGCCGCAGTGTCTCCACCTGAGCCAAACTACTTTTTGTGCAGAAGCTCCAGGTGCCAAGAGCTTTATCTGTCGAAGCTCCTAAGAGACTTTCACCAATGGCCGAGCCGCTGTTGCTTGGGACTGCTGGGGTGTCCAGCAGCACTGCCGCATCACTGGGACCGCCCAGGAGCATCTGCTGTGCCTGGGCCCAAACAAAGGACTGCAGGATGGACATTTGCGAAGGTCCCTCCGTCTTCGCCTTCAAGTGAAAGTCTCAAACAGCCCAGCTTTCCTTGAAGGCAAGCAGCTGCCCCAGCTGAAGAAGACCGACAGAGGAAGGTCACCTCATTTGCCCACGCGAACACGCTTTTACTCCAGACCCAGAGCACCACATGAGCTATAGCCTAAACTCCCAGTGTACCCTTGAGGAGCCCTATAATTAGCACCCTATATAGTCCTCTATGATACCCCCCTTAAGGAGTTTAGACTATGGCTCATATGATGTAAATGCACCAAGATCAGGAAGCCCTGGCCTGTGCGCCCTGGGAATTTCTCAGCGACCAGTTCTTGAGCTCTTTGACCGGGGAGCCGGCGGTGGCCTTGACGAACCAGAACCAAAAGCCAGTAAATTGGAACAAACTTACTCCAATTGTTAAGATCTAAGGCAATGATGTGTTTTCACTCGATTGGCTTGCATTCAAAATGTTGAATACTGTATATTCCCTATTAAACCCTCTTAAACCCCATATAACCCCTTTTTCACCCCTATATCACCCTATATAAACCTATATCACCCCAATCTAACCCCCAGAAAGTCCCTGTATCACCGCTGTATAACCCCAATATAACCCCCATATCATACCCCTATTCTCATCTGGGTGAACGTCACAGGTGCGTAAGGCCGCCGCTGCATGTCTGACAGAACCACACTCTCGAAGGACACAGCTAAACACCTGCAGACGAAACGAATAGGGGTCATATATAGGGTATTAGTATATAGGGGACTACTAGAGGGGGTATACTGGGATGAAAAATTAGCTCAACCCCTCCATTATTTTGACCAAAGCCCATTCGCCCACATCATCCCGATGCTACACATGTGATCATTGGGCGCTGTGCATAGCAACGCTTCTCCAATCATTGCACCAGCGCCCCTGCAGCAATCTCCAACCTCCCCGAGCCCTGAACCCCAAGGCCCTGAAAGCTTGAAGATCTTGAGATAGGGGTTTCCTAAACTTAGGGGTACCTTTTGGGGGGTCTCCATAACACAGATGACAGTTTTTGAGGATCTATATTGGGGTCCCCGTATTTTGGGGAAACTACCAGCTTTCCAGATCACAGATTCCGGCGAGGCACCATGACCAGCTCGACGCCCTTCGGCCTGGCGTAAAGAAGGGTATCTACCCGAAGCTGTCAAACTGCCAAGCCTGTAGTAATACCTGTAATACTCATAATAATTCTTAGAATGACAATAACTGATATTCGTACAAGTAATAGTAATAGAACAGTACTGATAATAGTAGTACCAATTGAATAGTAACCGCAATACATGCAATTATTGTAATCATTGTATTTACAGCCGTAATAAGAGGAGTACTTAAAAGAAGAGCGCAGGAAATACCAATATACGAACAACTGTAAGTACCATTATGAAAAACTATTATGAATAGAGTACGAATTTCTCGTCATACCAATGACTGTAATCATAATAAAACAACTCATACGGATTAATAGTAGTACTTGGTAGCTCCCCTAAATAGGGGGACCCCAATATAGTCCCCCAAATACTATAGCCCTTGGGATCCCCAAAATGGTACCCCTAATCTTGGGAAACCCAGAGTCGGAGCAGACTTGAGCCTCAACAGGACGGGGACGGCCCAAAGCGGGCGCTTGCCGGGGCCAAGCCTTCAAGGATTAGGGTTTTAGGGATTCAGGGTTTTAGGGTTTAGGGATTAGGGTTTTAGGGTTTAGGGTTTAGGGATTAGGGATTAGGGTTTAGGGATTAGGGCTTAGGGATTACGATGTAGGGAGGGAGTATAAGGGTATGGTATGAGGATTATCTAGGGACCATATACCGGTAATTTTGGTTATACAGTTACACAGGGACTATATTTCCTTTTCCGCTACTAACCACAGGTAAGCAGCTGCTCCACAAACTGTTGCGCATTCCTCTCATCGACCTCGAGACCTCACAAGGCTTTGGGGGAACAGATCGCCACGAGCCGCTACACCTCGCCCTAAGCAACCCGAAACAAATCATATGAGCTATAGTCTAAACTCCTAGTATTCCCTTTAATGACACCTATAATACTGCCCTATATAATTTCGTATACAACCCCGGTTAAAGAGTTTAGACTTTAACTCATATTAAAAAATCACTTCAAAAGGCTCTGCTTAAGCTTAACAAGGAGCTTGAAAGCTTTGCGAAGTCATAGTTGGTTGCAATGTCAACCACAACAAACGCCTTGCGGAGCACCGATTTGAATTGTCCCTAACTATCTCCACTGATCTGCACGCAGTCTGGTCACACCCACCCAGGATGCAATCAAGTCTCTGAGTTTGGATGAGGCGTCTCCAAAGAGCAACGCACTGTGCTCAGCGGCAGGGCTCTACGTCCTGCAGACACAAGAGGCCGAATATGCTGTCCTTGTGCGCGCGCACCGGCGCAGAACCTCCGTTTGTGGAATGTCAAAGTGAATGTCTGATTTGTCGGTGTTTGTCTTGAAGTGGCGCCAGAATGGATGGGTCCTTTCTGGGTCAGGTCCTCGACCTGGGCCTGCAGCAGAGCGTCCGCCAGCTTTCTTCCCAGACTCTTTGGATCTTCCAGGTCAACGGGCTCCAAGCCTCAGTTGAGTGAAAGCACAAGTAGCAGCGACACTCAGAGGACTCGAAATACTCCCCTTCAATGCCAAGCTACGGCTTTGCGCTTCATCGCCCCCGCGGGCCAGGACAGAGCGTCGCGGCATGCAGGCCAACCGAAGTTACAAGGCCCGACTAAGTCACTGAACTTCGATGAGCACAGGCTGTTTGAACTAGATGCATGTGACAATGCGCTGTCTCCACCCCCAGAATACGCTCAAGGGAATAACTTCTAGATTGCATTCATCTTTAGATGAAGCATCTAAATTATGCAGTTTGCCACGGACTGCGTGTTGGCAAGACCGTTCTGAGACTTGTGGATCTTGTGTCTTACAGTTCTCTGCTAGGCTGCTAGGCTACCAGGATTGGTAAGTCGTTGCCATTCAATGGGCTTGAACATAAGCTCCGCATCACATGCCTTACGGTGGCAGCAAATTCCATCCTGACCCTGGGAATATAACAAAAAATAGTAATACCAGTAATAATACTGACATAATAATAGTGATAATCAGAAATGAGAATTATAACAGTAACAGTAATCATGCAAACAGCCTTGTAAGCAAGGAGGCAGCAAATCGTCTCGAGGCTCTGCTTGCCCCTGTCGACGTAATCTCCCAAGAAGAGGTAATTCGCCTGAAAGGGATCACCATCCAATACCTCTGGCGGAGGGTCAGTGCCTGCCTCAGGAGGGAAGCCGCCGCATTCAAACAGCTTCAGCAAGTCAGAGTACCTCACGGCACTTCTGCATCAGGTGACGGTCTTCGGAAAGCTGGGATGGGATGACCGACTGCCTGGGGGACGCACATTATCCCTCTCAAAAACCCTATAGTAGTCCCTTATACAATCCCCTATGTAACCAAGTTTAAGGAGTCTAGATTCTAAATTATAGCTCATGTAGCGCACGCAGGATATATCTGACAGTGAGCCTACTTCTAAGCACATGCCAGCTGGACTGTCCATGAACGTCACCGCATATCTTGAGGGGGCAGCCCAGCTCAAGAAGAATTGGCCTGCTTCAAATGGACTGCAAAACGGTAATCATGGCGATGATGTTCATCTTCTTCATTCCCCCATCACCACCATCACCACCACCACCAGCACAACCACCAGCATCAGCACCAGCACCAGCACCAGCACCAGCACCAGCACCGCCAGCACCAGCATCATCACCATGGCCATGGTAACAGTCATGACCATGGCCATGAACATCATCATCAGCAGCAGATCATGAGATTTCACAATGACACTCAGGCTGCAGCTGGTCCATGAACACTTCCCGGGAGAGGAAGCCTGTTGCTCTGACCGCAAGATGCAACGATGGCTAGGCTGCCTTCTTTGCATCGAAGGAGCATAGACTGCTGATCTCTACTTCTGTGAGCTGGACGAGCTTCAATGGTCTGGTATGCCGGACCTGTAGCGATCAGGATTCCAAGTGATGTTAATCTGTCCTGGGTTGGAGTAACTAGTGATTAGTGACTTCAGCAAGAGACATCCCTTCAGCCACTCCCTGCCATCTCAGTCCTGGCCTCTAGCAGCTGCCCGAGGATACGGTCGACATCCAGTGCCTTCTCCAAATTGGATATGGAAGGTCCTCCCCTGAACTTGTGCAAATCGGCCACCTCCATGGAGCGCTGGCAGCACGCGCTGGGCCACTGCGTGCCTGGAAGAAGCAGCTCTGACTGTCACGCAGCTCCAAGAAAGATCTGAATCAGCGACAATCAATTGTGATGCGCAATCAAAATGACCTGAGCTCTCGGCAGTGCCAGCGGCATCAACGCCAAGCCCGCGGCATGCCAGCATGCCAGCCACACTCCCTTGCTAAAGACGCTGCAGGATCAGCATGGTCTGAACACGATAGCAAGGTAAGGCAACTTGCAGAGCTAGCATGCTCCCAGTTCCCAAACAAGCACATGTGAATGTCTGGCACGACGTTTTCCTCACCAGGTCTCAGCCTCGCGATCCCGCCGTCATGACTCATGACCTCAAACTACTTGGTATGGAGCCGTCATCGGATTCAAAGCTTTGCACCGAGCGCGGTACCCGTCTGCGCCACTTTGGGCACTGGGTTTCTCGGCCTCCTTGCCACCAGCTGCCTGGACCACATTCGTGCTACGAGTATGTGAAGGACAGGGAGCACACGGCCTTCGCAGAAGTCGAAACGCCGCCACCTGCGCCAAGACTGATCACCCCGCGCCCGCTGATTGACTGCATGTCTGCTATTTGCAAGTTGGCCTGGCCTGCTGCAGCCCCGGCCTCTTCTTTGGTGCCTTCAAGTTAGCGTTTCTTGCAATGCTTTGAATGCTGGTCCAGTACTGGCTGAACCCATTGCTGGCGCAGGTATGTTTAAGTGTTTTGCTTCACGTCGACCTGCCGGCCCCATGCCACCTACCTTGTCCGAATGACAAGGCCGCTGCTGTCGGCAACTTCTCGGAAAGTTTGCCCGCAGCCAGAAGCTCGTGCACTACCTTGGCACCCTCTTGAGCGCGTGTCCAGATTTGAGACAGCAGCATCGCAGGTGCCGAATGCTGAGCAGGACTTGCGCTTTGGATTGCCATGGTAGCCGAATCCAAAAGCACGATTTACAGCATCCACAGGCAAGATTCCCTGAATGTCTTGCTGCATTTGCTTGTGAATCGCTTGATCCAGGAAGAGAGCTGCTCCAAATGTGCAATAGTAGGTAATGGCAAATGCCAAAGGACATGGAATAAAGCCAGCTCGAAGATACAACATGATACAACCCTAGTCCCGCGCAATTCCGTCCTTGAGTTGGAGGCCCCGAGGGGATAGATTAAGACATACCTGGAGATAGCTCAAAATTGCATGGCACGCCGCTCCCTTGGTTTAAATTAGATGTTGACTGGGTACTCAATGATACCGCAAAGCGCAAGCTGCACAATAGGGGGCCAGAAGCGCTGTACAACTGACCAACTTGAGATCCTAAATTCAAGATTGCTCGTCGTGGCCGGCAGCTGGCAAAACGCAGCATGCGTGTTGGCGTGCGTTGGTGACACAGCGCCAGATACGGAGGCTGACGAAGCTTCAAAGTCGGTTGTGTCAGCCGCCTCACAAGGCTTGATCCGATATACCGAAACAACTCTGCAAGCAAGCTCATCTGAGAACCGACTGGCACAGCCAAGATAATTAAAAGTACGAAAGCTACCCAGTGCTCTAGTGGCAGCATGGGTTTGGACAGCAGACTTACTGCTCCAGGCCATTATCTGCTCGCTCCGCCCCCCAGAAGGCCTGCAGCCCCCTGGGACTGAAAGAAATCGAAATCGCTTACATCCCAGTTGTCTTAACAAAGAGTATGGGAGACGCTTGGACCTGAAACTTCCACTCTGCGCGGAGCACGGCACACGACGCAACGCTTCCCGGGCGACAGCGACGTTCTGCCGCGGGGGCGGGGTGTTGAATCCCCGAAATCAGCAAGGTCATTCTAGCTTTCAGGTTTTAGCCTCACGCCAGGAAAAACCTTGCTGAACAGCAGCTTCTGCCAGCTCCGACCAGGCCATGGAACTTCCTTATGAGTCAGCAAAGTAGCCAGTTACTCAGCTATTGTCAAACACCATGGCTGGTGGTAGGAACCGGAAGACTTGAAATTTCGAAAAATCAGAAGGATTGTCTTCTGGCAAAACCACAACTGTACAGATCTTGGGTGGTGCTAACTTGACACATTGAGGCTTACGCCTGCTCTGAAGATTCACAGCCACTTCACTGACCAAGAGGTGCGATGCCGAGACTTGCTCGTCTCCGCTGTAGGAGGCTGGATTTTCCTGCTCGAAAGCTGAAAAGGAATTCTTAAATCTTCCATGTGTTTTTGCTATTTTCCCCGTATTGGTGTTTTACTGTAGGTAGTTCCTGAAGAAGATCAAACAGAGATAATGACTGCAGGCACAGCCGAAGCCATGTCCTGGAGCGCTGAAGTTCTTTGTCGGCTCCTCAACTGGCTTTGGGGGCGGGGTTGCCATCGAAGCTGTCGTGCATGTCGATGTTGTCTCCTCAGCTTTTGGGCAAAGGACTGCTAGCCACACTCTTCTTGTCATGGGGCTATGAAAGCGTGGAAGTTACCTTGAGCAAAGGCGCCTTGGAAGCAGAGACTGAAGCAGGTGCCACAGGCACAACAGGCTCCGGTCTCTTTGGAAGTTCCTGCCAGCCGCAATGAGCACAGTTCGACATCTCGCAACTCCAGTCCCATCTCCTTCACCGGAGAGGCATCTTCATGACTGAGTAAACTGATGTGGCTACCTCAGCTTGAATGGACTTTGAGGTTAGGGCCCTTCGGACTACCTCTGCTGTGTGCAATCTCCATCGCAGCGTAGTCTTGAGAGCTGGGTCAGCCGACTCGCAACTTATGCCTGAAAAAATGGCTTCGCTTGGTGGGGCTTGACCAGTTCCAAGCCGTGGAGCCTTTTGATGAGCGAGCACCCTCGCCCGAGTCACCTGAGTGCCAGACTTTGTTGAAGGAGCCATGTTTTGCGCACCAGGGTCATCTGAGACTGCCACTAAACCTCCCATCCAGAACAAGAGGGGAAGAATCCTGACCGAGGATAACACCAGGCATGCATCAAAATCCCGTGTGCCCACGAATTGGGTTGTCTCATAATTATGGGCCCCTTTTGATTATAGACTATATTATGGCGCATAGTATTGAGGGGTACCAAAATGGGACCCAATTGCTGGGAACTAACTCCTCACATACGGCAGTTTCTCAATGCGATTGATCACAAGATAGCAAGATCTGCAGTGAACGGAGCCTCCGAAAGTGGCTCAGAATGTTCAGAAGTCCATACCTACAATTAATTCCTGTGTATTTTCATGTACCCCCACATGCTCTCTATTTTTCCTAAGTACCCCACTGTAGGTGCTTATAGTCGTTAAGTAAGACAATCGCCAGAGATGTCTCCACATGACCCATGCCGCTCGTGCCAGTGTCCTCCTCATGTCGGCGGGGCTCCGGAGCGTCTACCGCCGCAGATCCCTGACAAACATGGATGGACCACACGGACTGGCAAGGGGTACATAGGAATATCAAGGACATGTTACGTATATCTAGGGATATGTGGCGCGGGTATGGAATACATTTGCAGACTGCACATCCAGCAAACACTCCATTATGCATTGCAGGCACTGACGTTTGACTTAGAATTTAGAATGGCTGACCTGTCCGTGGCTTCAAAGAGAATTCTGCAGCACTAAGTAGTTGTGCAGGTGCCTGGGCCGAGCATTTTGAAGGACTCCTCTCGAAGTCTTCCTTCACACCCTCTAGTGGGTTCAAATACTGTTTCAGCGATAACCTCGGCTGCTCAGAGCCCCCCAGACCCGGCCTGCATGCCAGTGCAGACCACAAGAATCTCTCAAAGCAGCCAAGTCGCTTATCTACGGCAGAGGCCGATCTCTGCGAGGCTTGAGATAATTCCATCTTTCTTTTCTGGAAGTCCAGCTGGGAGCTAAGCACGCCTTAACTCATCAGTGGTATTCTACTACTTGCACGCCGGGGGGATGGAAAGCTCATGAATGGGGCCTGAAGCAGTAGCAGAGGATCAGCCAGGACCTCTTTTGCTGAACATACTCAAACGACTTCAGACATTAACCCGAAGAACTCCAAAATTGATCCAAGTTTTGGAGATTCCCCCACCCCCCCCTCGGACCGATCAGCTAAAGCTCGGCGTTATTGTGCCTCATGAATGTGAGCAGCGGTGTTTTAAGCTGGCTTAAGAATTGGAAGGATGCCAAGTAAGGGAGTCGCTTGAAATAAAGGTACTTTTAAAGTAATCTATGCCAAACAGCGCACACAATCAGATTTTCTTTCCGGCTGGATGGCGGGGGTTACAAGAGAGATGTCCCACATTCCAGGCCGCATTGGGGGGATGCGATGCATCCAAGAATCGCTGATTGGTTGCGCCTGGACCTGAGGCCATGCAGCGCATGCGCGTGTCTTGGAAAAACGGCAGCCGTGGGGTGCCCTAGGAATATGTGCAGATGATGTAGGGAAAATATCCAGCCCCTTAGAGCTCCCTTATTTAGGTTTGTGCGGCGACTACTTTGAGAAACTCGCACGCAGAGTCCTTCCTGAACTTGGGTGGCTTGCAAGTAACTGAGAGGCTGGCTGGCTGGTATGAAAGGATTGAACTCCTGGCGAAAGAGGGCAGACTGCTCACAGAAAAAGTGACTACTTGTATTCGCTTGTATTGATGGTCTGGCTGATTGACTGCATGTTGAATCCGAGGTCCGCCACTTGATCTTGTTTCTTACGGGCTGACAATGCTATGAATTCGTTGGCAATCTTGGAAGATGACGACTCGTATAAACATACCAATGAGCTGACCTATCTCATTCAATCGGTGGTTCTTATCTTAGTTGGCGAGCGAGCGCTTAGAGGAGAAACGCCGGCAGCTACGGCTACATTTACACAAAGGTCATCAGTGCTCACCGTTCCCGCGTTTCTCAACAAGACACATGTCAAATCGAAGTCTCACATCAATACATCACGTCATGAATTGATGCACACGGCATGCGCCAAAACAAGAGTCATGCCTCCCGCTCCACCATGTACCCGGGTACCCAGCAATTTAAACAAATGATTGCAAAATTGGCCTCGCACACAAGCAGCTTTAGCAGGAATCGCGGAAAACTGAAGTTATCTTCCACCTGAGGACAAGCCCAATACTCCCTGCATCCGATAGGCTTGCAGATGGCTGCAGTGAGACTAAGAAGGGCTGTGCATGCATGCCAATTTGCTGTCGAGCCTGCAAGGTTCCTCAACTTGCTTCAGCATAACGAGGTCTTCAGTTTTCTGGTCTACAGAATGACACAGAACATAGCTGCTGGGTTGGCTTGATTTGAGAGGGTTTGCGTCTTGCTCCAGCACAAACAGGGCTGATTCTCCGAGACACAGTCCCTATTCCACGAAGCTCAAGCTTCCAACGAATATCCCTGACGAGAGCAAGTCCTCCGAGTCGACTTGAGAACCGCCGAACAGGTACGTGGATGCTGACAGCCCGGATTGCATCGAGAGCGTTGTGCCTTGGCTGAAGTATGTCGGGAGTGCCTTTGCTTGAGGCCAACGCGAAACACAAGAGTTCTCCTTCAAACAGCAGATTAAGCCGCCGGCTATGGTTTACCTTGGATGCAGAGCTGGACGCCCGAATGCGGTGCGGCATATGCTTCATGTGCTCTAGCACAGGGCACAGAAATGGTATCAAGGCTAGGAACCATCGGAGTCAGCGGCTGCGGGGTGCTGTCTCCGAGAGGCGTCTGCGGAATAGCTCCTAAGAGCTTCTCGACTTTCTGCATGGAAAAGGGCCCGGACCTCAGTTACCGATGCCTTTGAGTGAACATACTGATGCGCAAAATAGATAGATCATGATAGATCACTGTGGAAAGAGCACACAGAATTGCCAGAGGCAATGATCCCTAAAACTCCCGGGCAGGCGAGCTTCTCCACAAGGGCTGTCAGACGCTTTGCCAACTTGGACCCTTTACCTCGGCTTTCGGCATGCAATCCTGTCACAGCATGTTCAAACGTGCATTCAAGGGACTCTTCTTCCTCCCAAATGCAATGTTCATTGTCTCGCAGTTCCAGCCAGTCACAACCTGACGGGGAGGTCTTGGCAGCTTCAACTTTTGAGTTTGGCTGAAGCCTTCTGCGACAGCTTGTTGACTTCCATGTCATTTTTGCCAACCGCATCTGCGGGTATGGCCTCAGCCGCTAGAAGATCAAAGCACCCCATCACCCGCTTGCAGTAAGCCACGGCATGCCACAGGTGGCTTTCTCAGAGAGCAGCCCACTTGTCAGGCTCCCGGTGAGCAGATGCCGATCCCTCGGTGTCCTCACAAAACCCTGCAAAAAAACCTGGAAACGCTGAATCTGAAAAAGGAATGCCCATAATGACTGGCCTCAGGAGGCCCAGAACGCGTTTAGAAATGGCTCATGGCAGCCACCAGCAGTACATGTTACTTGCAAGTTCTAAGCCATCCAGTGAGGCTTAGTGCACTTACCGGTGGCAACAACGAACACGATCCTCGAAGCCCTCAGCGATGTGCTCCAGTCTCTCCTGCCAAGTCTCGTAGTACATATAAGATATGCCAGAGCTTCGCGCGTTAAGCTGCAATGATACTGCTTTGACATGAGCTATAATCTAAACTATCCCCGATAATAGGCCCCCTATATAACCCCCTATACAAGCACAAATGAAGCAGTTTAGACTATAGCTCACATGATGACAAGGCAGGCCTGGAGCGGAAAGTCGTTGTTGCCTCAGCTTTTGATTGCGGTTCGCTGTAAAGAAGCAGCCAGACCTGTAACGAGGATCAACAGTAAGCCCTCCAACTGTGATGTGTCTACGATTTGTTGCTGGAAGAAGTTTGATGAAAGAATTCTGATAGGCGTGACCTGAACCCAGGGGCATTGCTCGCAGTGGGCCTCTGCAGTACGAACCAAGCGCTCCGAGCCCCCACACTGCCCTAACATACATTAGGCGGCCCGCCAGCTCTTCGTCTGCATCTACTCTAGAACAACCGCCGACAACCGACGCAAGCAGAACTCACAGGGTGCATGCAGCCGAGACACCTTCGACCATGGCTTCCTCCTCTGCATGAAGACACCGCATTACGATCTGCAAGCTTGTCGAATGTTCCGTGAACATGAACATGCGAATCTCTCATCCCAACTTGTCGGGTCCCTCAAGTTACCCTCTTTTTTGAGAAAACCCCTTATGGGAAAGCCATGAAGTCCTCTGCTGACATTGGCATAACGGCCGACATGCCCTGGCTGCAACTGGATCGTTTTATCACCCAAGAGAGTGAGACACCGAGAGAGAGAGAGAGAGAGAGAGAGGGATATACAATGTCTTCTTCTGCAGGGCAAGTAGCTCGAGAGGAGGATTGCTTCGGCATCTTCGGCGTTGGTGGCAGGCGCTGCGACATCTGCCTAGATGCCAAAATCGCCGCACCGTACTCCACCTGACAAATTACGTGCTGCAAAGCGCAGAGGCTTCCTCTTTTTCCAAGACAAATTGTTGAGCAGGCCTTCTCCACCAGCAGATCCTGTTGTTCCTCACACAGCAAGCCACATGCGCATGTCGCGTGCTCAGAAGATTCTTACCTTTCGCTTACTTCACTGAGCTTGACATGAGGCAGTCCGGCATGATGCTCATGACTGACCCGATGCAGTCGCCGTGCGTAACGATGAGAAAATTCCGCCTCGGAAAGTGCCACACGCTTCAGCATTAGGGTTTGTGTAGTAATAATGGAAAAAGAAAATCGAAACTACTGTAGCGCTGTATAATATCAGAGCTAACCACTGGCCTTCTGCACTGCCTCCTGCGAGCCAAGACGCTTTGCCACAGCGCCACGCTGCAGGTACTGCAAGAAGCGCAGCGCAAATCTCCGCCGCGCATCTTGCAGCGACTCGGGCCAGACCTTACTGACAGTCTGCATTCAACCGATAACCATAGCCAGATTTAACAGGCGTACACATCAGCTTGTACTACAGCTGCTATCTGCAGGTGAATTAAGGTAATGGCTAGTGTTAATTTCGCCTTATGCTAGGGACCGGGCCGGCTTCTGCCCCACCGCTCTGGTTACGACGCTGATGTCGTGTTCTCTGCAGTAGTCCACCTCTTCTGACGCTGCTTGTGTTCTGCTAGTCCACCAGAAGCACTGGTCAGCGAAGTTGCGAAATCATCCCTGCAGCCTAGCAACGGCCACGGTGAATGCCCGCATGTGGTCGCGAGGCTGGGCCTGATGCGAAAGAAGCCACGCGAGGCCTTGCTCTGAGTTCACCGGAACGCCGAGCCTCCCCCATCACCGACGGGCCATAGATCTCGCCCAGCGACTGGTCAATCAGCATCTTGACTTGCGGTCCTGCCAGCAACGCTCTGAAGAACCGTCACAGGCGCGGTCTGGAACTTGACAGGAGGTCTCCTAAGTGCTTGCAGATCTTCACTGCCGTCTGCACGCACCGCGAATAAGGCGAGCAAACGACCACGTGGAAGTCAGTGCCTTTCCTGCCAAATAAACTGACAAGTTCTGCTGCTTTTCGTCGTGACGTAGGATTGACTCTAGTCCGTCCAACACGTCCAAAAGCTGAATCTGAGCCAGGGCGCCGCTCAGCAAACTGTTGGATATTGACGCCCAGGATCTCTGCCTGAATCATGGCCCTAGGACTGCTAAGGAGCTGCGAAGCACTCAAGCAGGCGGTCAATCCTGCCTGCTCGTGACCTGCGTCACTGAGTGGTGGATCCAGGGGGAACCTCACAAGCAATTGTCATCGTCACTGAGTGCAGCAAAGGATTTCCCTCCTTCCCTCCTGCCTCCTACAGTCCTCGGAGCTCGACCATCTGCCGTTCTCCCAGAATGCAAAGACTCCATCTGCACGTTCAGTATGTCGAACAACTCCGAAGAGTTGCGTCCTTGGCCAAAAACAACTAGCAGTTGCTTTTTTTACTGTTCTGCATGAGGTCTGTGTTGCCACAATGCTGGGATAAGGCGACAGCCATGGTTGTGTTGGACCCACTCTCTGAGACATGGGCGGTAACTTTCTCTTCTGCCAGCCGGCAAGGAGCAAGTTGCTAGACCTGCGCAGGGAACTGTTGCTATTGCCGACACTGCATAAGAACGAGATGTTGGCGATTGCACGTTGCAGATTGCAGAACATGTGCACCAAGCTTGCTTGCCTCTTGGTTGCTTTCAGAGCAGACGTCACATTTCCAGTGGACGCTTCGTTTCCCATTGCATCAAGCAGTCCCTACAGGACGCTTGAGATAAGCGCTGCAGTGTCAGAAATGCTGTCTTGTCACGCAAGTCAACAAGCTGGTTGAAGAGCACACCACAACGCAAAGAGGTGTCCATAGAGAAAATACGAGTAGCTTAAATGTTGCGGTGATGCGTTGCACAAAGCTGAGGGGCGGTCCAGGAAATCCAGGTGGCGTCGGAAAGCCACCGAGACCTGATCACCAAAGAAGAGCCTTCAATGCCCCGAACTCTGCACTCACAGGCAATGAAAGAAAATCTGCCGAGGCCGGAGGCCTGGGGCATGTAGATCCAGGTTCGGAGACTAGGAAGGTAAGTTAACCCTCCCCCTACCCCTCCCAGCAATCTCAGGATTTGGAGGGAGATCGGATTGGAAGGGACGGCTGTTCGGTCAGGTTCTGCGCGGGCTGGCGTGGGTCTGAGCTGCAGGACCGCCCTTTCTCGAAGGCGAAAAGTCGGGGTTCGGCTGGGGGCCAGGAATCGGGCTGCTGGAGGGCGTGGGGGGTGGGGGGGGGGCTGGGGTGCAGGTCACAAAACTTGTTTGGTCTGAGCATGCAGGACATGAAAAAATAATGCGTGCACAGCTGAGAGGGATGAGACAGGCAGGTGACACATGTTTGATTAGTTGTACTCGCATTCCTGGCACGTTCTCAGTACCTGTACTATCTTTTAGTAATCACGAATGGGGGGGATGGGTTTGGAAGGGGGTTGGTGGGTCTTCAGCTCTCCTCTACCCTTGCCGAGGCGGTCCCGTGTTAGCAGCTAAATTGTCGCTTGCATTAAGAGAGCATAAAATAACAGCATCTACTGCGGATCTGTTGACCTGGGGCGCAGACCTCCCATGCCTGGCATGCCAGGCATGCCAGCCATGCCGGCCATTCCAGGCATTCCTCCCATCCCACCCAGTGGCCACTCTCCGATTCCTTCTCCCAGAGATCCATACCTGAGGCCGATGGCGTGCTGGCTCTTCTGAAAAGAAGCGACTCGAGGTATGGCTTTCGGAGGTCCCCTTTTTAAACTAGACTCCACCTCCAGACCTGATACAAGTATGAAACTGAAGATGGAGAACCCGCGACTTCCCGTGCACAGACAAGCAAAACATCTGAGTGTGGGTCGGATTCCCTGCGCTCATGTCGCCTCGGCTGAACATGTGTGGATTGCAAGAGAAACACAGGGATGCCGTGGCCAAGTCTTGCCCAAGGCGCCAAAAAGCGAGCTGCGGCCACCTCTTTCGGGACCACCTGGGCAGTATGCGAGTCTGAAAGCTGAAAAAAGCTCCGGAGGATCCCATCTGAGCTTTCCCACCGCGTCGCCGACGATTGTTGTACGGCTGGTACCTTGCTACTGGGCCAAGAAACGCATGCTAGAGAGAGACCTCGGCCAATACGAGGTCACGTGGTTCTGGCCATCAGGTGGGCCATGATACCAAAGAGAACCATAGCCCACACCTGAGCATGAGGTGTGCGATCAGCTCCCATGCTTTGAATGCACCTTTGCTCAGGGAGAGGCAACTGGCGGCAGATGGAATTGTTCAGGCAGCCAGAAGTTGCACCTTTGCATGAAACTGCTCAGCACCATGTCGAAATGTGTCAAAGATGGCTGGCCCGAGCTTCAGGCCACCCGAAGATGCTCTCCATCGGATCTTTGCCGCCCTCCCTCTTCTTCTTCCTCAGCGTCTCCATGGCAGCGTCGGTTTCAATCCGAGAGCTGCTTCCTGGGAACGCGACTTGCCATCTGAGCCCTTCTTTGGGGGCTCCGGCTCATCGCCTCAACAAACAAAGACTTCAGGCTGTCCTGATAGGCTCTGACATCTCTGACCCTGAGCTCCCCACCAGCCACCTCCAAGGTGGGAACCTTGCCTTGGCAAAGCATCTTCCAGCTGCGGCTGTGCTTCATGGATAATCAAAATGATATACGCAGAAGGAGGATATGTCCTCACTCTCCTCGGGAGACTATAAGTATAAGATCCCCAAGCAAAAGACTGCTCAAAGTTGCTGCTAAGAGACGGCCAGACAGGCCTTGCTCGTAGGCTTTGAAGCTCTGCGCTGGAGTTTCCTTGGATCTCATCAGCTTCCGATGCATGAACGCATGGCTTGGCAGCTAGGGAAAATGCCGCCAATATCTTCTCAAAGTGATGTAGGGCAACTGGATCTCGCGAGCCCTGCATTTGTTGAAGGCTTGATGCATGGATTCAGAGAGACAAAATCCGACGAGTGTGACGAGATGAGTTCCCTGAACATCCTCTCCTCATCTTGCGTACTCCGCAGGAACGCTCGACGCACCACGAAGTCTATCTCTGCAAAGGTATAGTTGGCAGTAAGATCTTGGCATTCAGGGAGCAACGGTCAACCAGCAGCATAAATCGAGGCACTGGGTGAAAGAAGCAGCACAGGCCCGAGCTTGCCAGGGTGTCAACCGCCTGGCAGGCAGGCAGGTTCCAAGGCCAGAGCAGAACATCACCTAAACCCTCAACGACTCATCTCCGAACCTGTAGACTTTAGACCCGTAACCCTTGCGCCCTGAAATCTGAAATCTGAACCCTGAAGAATGACTGGCTCAGAAGTGCAAGCGCGACAGGGCCACGGCTTCCCGCAGAGCTGAGCCCCAGTGTGCGTCAGATCTGGAGACCTGGCCATCATGATGCCTAACAGCAAATGTGCCCTTCAAGGCTTTAGGGTTTGCGATTTAGCGAAATACTCGTGATTAGAAAAGCTGAGGGGGGCCAGAGTTGGTTGCGTGGTCACCAAGCGGAAGAGTGCTCCATTCCATGCTGCGCACGGTCAGTGCAATGAGCAAATGTGCCTGCGCCAACAGCTTCAGGAGAAATTGCTTGCGCTCAGCCTTCAGACCAGCCCTCGATTCCCTCTTAGTATTCAAAGAATGGAAAGTTACTAATAATATGGAAAACAAAGAAAATGAAATGCATGCCAGCCACTGCATCATTTAGGGTCATTTAGGGCTTAGGGAAGGCGTTTCGAGCAGAATCTTGCTGTTCCATATGAGCTACAGTCAATGTTTCCTACGTTGGTTGGATTCAATGGACGTGACATTTGCTACTATCAGGGACTATACTAGGGAGTATGCGGAACTTTCAGAGGGACCCCTATGTCCGCGATTAACGGTTAAGTTAAGTTTAATAAGCCTAATATTGGCATCCACTCATATTGCTTCAGCTAAGGCCAATCTTCTGTCGTAAGTCACTGCGATGCTTTGCAGTACCTACTATCTTGGCTTCAGTCTCCATGAGGAGCCTTTCGTCCACAATCAGTATGTATTCCCTTGGCTACGAATCCACAAACAGCGGCAAAGGTTCTCTCTGGCAGCGCCAACATCTGAAAACCGCGCAGGTGCCTGACTGGGCGGCTGTATGCGCACGGTGTATCCGAAAGGAAAGAGCCTTCCAGCAGACATGGCGCAAGTATCACCAGACAATGACTCGCAAAAGCGCAATCTCAGAAGCTCTTTAACACAGGGCCGCACTCTATCGCTTGCAGGAAACGGCTTGGGTCTGAGCCTGAAGCAAACACAAACATCACAAATAACTGCAACCAGCAAGCCACCCACCACACCTTTTTCATATAAAGAGCCCTGTTCAAGGGAAGCATCTCTGCTACAAGAATAGAGGGCATGTGCTTCAAGGTACAGCCTTGCTTAGGCTTGGAGGATGGAACTGAAAGAGAAGGTAGTTTCCCAAAAGAGGGGGACTCCAATATAGACCCCAAATCCTATAATCCTTCTTATAGGGACCCCCACAAAGGGTACCCCTAATTTTGGGAGACCCTAATCCCTATAATCCCCTATATAATCCCAGTTTCCATTTGATTTTCCATGTTCTTTTCCATTTGATTCTCCCTTATATAGTAGGTACCCCTAATTTTGG